AAAAAAAAAAAAAAAACGGGAAGAAAAATTGAAGAGAATAGTCTCTTGTCTCCTCATTATCATCTATATATATAGCCTATCATTAGTATAGAGAGGAGTTTCAACTTATGTTCACTTAGCATTTTATAAAAATTTCCTCACTTAGCCATTAAAACTGAGAACGCCGAGAGGAAGCTCCCACCGGAGCCGTACACGCCATCGCCGGAGAAGGAAAGGTGCACCGAGCCATAGCATGTTCTACCCGAGTTCGGCCGCACCAAGTTGACTTCAAGGAGTTTTGAAGATTACAAGAAGTCTAGAGAATCCATCAATTATAACCGAAAGAAGCCGAAGGTTCGTTATCGCCGAAAGTTGCCGAGAATCACCGTGAGACGTCGAGAGAGGGCTCTGTTGGGATATGTGAGGATCTCGTTATGCACGAATCACGAATTCAATAGCAAACATAAACATGTGCGCAGCGGATCTAAAAGTTTGACGTAGAAAACTTACGGCTTAAAATTTAGGGCGATCTGGCTGATCTTCAAAGGGATGACCAGGATGAACACACGAACTTGATTGGATCACGAATGGAATGTCGGGCTCATAATCGGGTCAGGTCATGTGGACATCGCGGATCTGTCGGCATCTGGTCGTGGCCTGATCGCGGTTACTGGTCGTCGCGGAAGGCGTGCCGCGGGTTGGCTGGGCCGAGTGCGGCGGCGCGTCGCAGATCGCCGGGGTCCTGGCTGGTCGCGGTGGTCGTCCTGGTAGGCTGTCGGCGGTCTTCGCAGCTTCTGGCTCCGGTTGATCTCCAGGGTTGATTATATATATGTATCTCAATAAACCACAGGATCTTCTACTGTATATATGAAATACCCTTTTTCAACTTGTATCAGTGGAGCAACAAGAAGAAGATAAATCTCGAATGAGAATTGAGAGAGAGAGAGAGAGAGAGAGAGAGAGAGAGGTGCGGCACGGGGCATGTAAATTTATGTGTGTTCTCATCTCTTCCCATGAGCTTAATGATGTATATATAGAGCTACAGTAGGGACCCTTATGAGATTAGGAATAGGGCTCTATAATTAATTAAAATATTTGTGGGACAACCCACTTATTTTAATTAATTAAATAATATTACTGGGTAACCAACATAATATTATTGCATCCCTTTTCCTAGCCAACTTACAATTGAGACTCCAATAATAATTACTCGAATTATCCCTCTATTTTTAAGATATAATATTCATCAATTAATTCGATTACTGACAATCAAGAATTAATTAATTTATTATTATTTCACCGAAGCTAGCAGTCGTTCATCACATTCTTACTGTGCTGAAATTTAATCCACCCGTAGGGTTTAGCATAATAATCCTTCTTGAACTCACTACGGGGATATCATCAAACTAAACGTACATGGTAACCGTAAATATCCTAATAGCACATCATACCCAAGACAGTGGGTCTATTGTTCCAGTTCACTAAACCTCACTCGTGTGTATCAAAGCAATACGTACTGCATATATATGTCTATTTATTATCTTACGGGTTAAGAGAACGCAGTAAGTAAACGAGGGCTACTTTGTTTACGACGATCAGTGTAAAACGAACTGCTCCTCTCTGGGATCCTGTTGAATACATAAATGTACTAGTGCAACTAATCAGTCAAGACAACTGTACCATTGACACTACAACCGTTCATGATGGGGTGTTCATGTCCATCTAGGTTATGAACCATTATTCTTGTTTCGCGAGTAATTGATAGAGTGATCTTCGGTTCGCCCGATGACGACCCACCCTATCTAATGCAAAATAACTGAACGTAGAACCTGTTTAATATAATATGATTCTGGCTAACAGGACAGCTCCAGTTAGGCAGACCCACTGACGTTTGACATGTCAGTCACATTGCTCACATGGAATGCCCGTGGTCTGGCTAACAGGACCACCCTTGCTTATGTTAGATCTCTCATTCGTGAGCATAACCTTGACTTTGCGGCTTTCTTAGAACCTATGACTCGAGACCCCTCTTTTGACGTATATTCGCGCCGCCTTGGCTTTCATGCCGGGATGGGCAACACCTCTAACAAGATTTGGTTTATCCACTCGCGTGACTTTACTTGTGAGATCCTTCGTGATATTGATCAAGTCTTGCACGTGAAGCTCACTGCCGCCCATCTTCCAGAATCGATCTTCCACACCTTAGTTTACGTCAGCTGTGCGAGGGTTGGTCGTTATGACCTCTGGGACACCATGTGTGAGATTGCTGAGAGTATGGAAGGATTACCGTGGATGATTAGCGTTGATTTCAACATATTCTTGCATCCCGATGAACGCATTGGTGCTGTATCGGACCGCTCTGCGAAGATCTTAGATTTCTCGCATGTTGTATCGGATTGTGAGCTCATCGACACAGGATATGAAGGGGCTCCCTTTAGATGGGAGAGGGCCGGAGTCAAGGAGAGGCTCGACCGCGCTCTCTACTCAGAGGCGTGGACGAGGGTGTTTGCGACCACGGTTGTAACGCACCTTCCTCGAATTGGATCTGACCATGCCCCCCTTCTGATTCGTTGTCGGTTCTCTGTTTCCCCTCGGCGAGCGTTCTTTCGTTTCCAGAACATGTGGGTCCACCACCATTCTTACTACGATATTGTTAGAGCCTCCTGGCAGCAGGCCATACACCTCTATGGGATGCGCAACCTGGAG